TGAATTAAATTACTTTATAGCCATATAGACTGTCTTTAAAATTATTTGTTTACAATTTGAAATCAAAGTGTTTCATTTAAAATTTGATTATTTATATAYATAAAAAATAACATGATAAATATTAAATAACAGTATTATGTATTTGTAATGAAAAATAGCAAAAATCCAATTTACATTCAAATTTCTACAATATAATAATATGATATTATACAAATGTATAAATTTTTAAAATGAAAACATGAATTTTAGTGGTGCTCCTAAACTGTATACATCTAAACCTGAACCACCTCAAATACCTACAAATGATATGATGATTAAAGCAGAAGACATATTAAAAATGACAACAAGCATCAATCCATTAAAAAAAGAATCAAAGAAGTCACAACCCACAATATTACCAGGTAAAGAAATGGCAGAGGCCGTTAAAGCAACATCTAAAACAGTTGTTGTATCAGCTGGAGGTAATGCTGTGGCCGCAGCTGAATGTGCTGCTTCAATCCCAAATCAATCTGCCAAGAGCAAAGGGAAAAAAAATAAGAAATTTATACGAACTTCTGGAGGACAGGTTTGGGAAGATCAGACACTATCTGAATGGGATGAAGGTATGTATTTTGTTTTATGTATTGATAAACTGTAGCAAATAATTATATACATTTTGGAATAAAAGAATATAATTTTCCTCATTGTACTACACCTGCATATGTTTTACTTGTCTTAAAAATGTACAATATAGCAAATATGATTTCTGTGGGATAAAACCACTCAGGTTATAGTGATACTAAGACTCCAAGTTGAAATACAATAAGGCTGAGAACATTATCTGTGAAACATCGTCTATATTATCATGATATACTAAAACATACGAAAAAAATTCTTAGTTTCAAAATTCATTTAATTTAATAATTTCATTATTTTTGTTCTTCAACCTTAAATAACTTTTTTTGTAGTTCCAATAATGAAAAAAAAAACAATATTTAACTCCCAAAATCCTCTTCCTTAATTRTTAGAAATTTAATTTCTTAKCTATGACTGTAGCTTTYTCAGTGCTATCMCATGCATAACAATTTTTTCTATGTTTTACATTTGTGAGATTGAAGACAACACATGCAAGTGTTGCATCCTTTTAACATAATATAAATTATAATAAGTGATCCAAATTTGAATTATATTTCAGATGATTTTCGACTATTTTGTGGAGATTTAGGAAATGATGTAACTGATGAATTATTAGCTCGAACGTTCAGTCGATATCCTTCATTTCAAAAAGCACGTGTAGTWCGTGATCGCCGAACTATGAAAACTCGAGGTTTTGGGTTTGTATCATTCAAAGAYCCAGCTGACTTTATTAGAGCTACAAAAGAACTTAATGGTATTGCCTTTTACCTTTTTTTACTCAATATTTTTAAATACTACTATTKTAAATTTTTCTTTTTATTAGGTCGATATGTGGGTAGTAGACCAATAAAATTACGGAAGAGTATGTGGAAAAATAGAAGTTTGGAAGTAACYAAAAAGAAGGAAAAAGAAAAGGCTGCACTCATTAATTTACTAACTGGTCAATCTTCATAAMCAATGATATTTTTTATTTTTACCATATAAATAAACTAAATGTTTCTGTAAAATTGTAAGCAAATGATATAGTTTTATTTGATTTTTAGTTCTTAATTTTTCAAAATAAGATTTTGCTATTAAGGTTTAAAAATAAAGTTATTAAGCAATTTTAAATTTTCTTAAATTAGATAAATAACATGATGCATTTTTAATACTTAAAAATAATCAGTAGTTTAAATTAATACCGGTCAGAACCTTAGAACTAATCAATATTTATAATAATTATAAATATTGTGTTGTTCAACAAATTATCGTATAAAAAAAAAGATTGGAATTAGGAATCACAGATAAGATGAAATATTTTATACACAATATACAGTAGCAAATTTGTCAAAACTAGTTTTATAGTGTTAAAAACAACATATTATATATAATTAAAAAATAACAGTACACTTCATTTATTCAAATACACATATTTTATATATTTTTGGCATGTACTTTTTAAGGTGGATTTCTTCAGTACATGTTATTTTTGTAAAGCCAATGTTAATATAATAATGTATTATAATTATGGACTATGAGAAATAGATGCGGATTGAGTATAAAAAAATCCAAAATGGTATTGAATTTCTGTACATCATTATTAATTTTTTTTAAATATAAAACTGTACAACTTATTCTTCAACTATAACTTTTAACGATTTTTTATTATAGACAAATATAGTTAATATTGTTTTGTAAGAGAATAGGTATCGTCAGTTAAAGATGATAAGAATAAAATAAATTAAGTAATAGTATTGAATATATGTAGGCATAGTATCATAATTAAAACATTCATTCATGGAAGGGACATGTTTTTTTTCAAAATAAAGTAATAAATAAACTTAAAAGATTTAAACGTGCAACAAAAAAAGGAAAAAATAATAATAATAATAAAACAGTAATATACAAAAAGGCTATCATATGAAAAATAATTTTAAAACGAAATATAAAATCACAGTTTTCGATTAATTTGTCAATAATAATTAATAAATAAAAGATTTTCTTAAATTTTAATATACAATAGTAATGTTCTAACAAGTAACATCTTGTTAKCTTTAAAAATATCAAATATACAGTCTAAATTGTATTTGTTAAACAAATTGAATATTTTGATTATATACATAATATGTTACATAATATATATTTATACAGTTATATCACTCTATTTAAAAAAAAATATTACGGCGGTTGATATTAAAAATAACTTTAAAAATAAAACGACATATCATACATTATATTACTAGAAAAAATTATCTCTCAAAATAACTGTATTGTATGTCTGTATTTTAAAAATAATTTTGTAATAAGTAAAAAAATTAGTACAACAATTTCAACTCTCGATATAATAYGTAAAATGTCAAAAAATGTAATTTTAAACATCATTGAAAGTTTTTTATAAAATATCTATGATTTTAATTTGATATTATACATAATTATGTACTTACATATTAATATATATACATACATATATAACATAACCATATTAATATATGTATATATGTATGTATATTTACAATGATCATGTTGGGTTGCATAAAACATTTATTCATTCAATGGTTCAATAAAGTTTATGAGACCATTAGCTCACTATTGACTTATTAAATGTTCAGTTTTTGTTTATGCCACCCGGAATTAAACAAGTAACARTTAAGCCTAGTAATCTCATAAATTAGATGGTAAATTCAATAAACAATTGACATAACTAGACCTAAAAACAAATATTGTGAAGTGATTTTTTTTAATTAAAAATGTGTGATTTGTAAAGTTTTATTTTTAATGTTTTAATTAAACAATGATTGGTGATTTATTGTACCAGCAAATAATAATAATAAAACAGTGTATAGAGAATTCAAATTRCTCACATTAAAAATAGTAAAAGTCATTGCAGCTGAAGTTCTTTTTTTTTGGTTTTTGAAAAAAAAATATGGAATATTTAAAGCACTTAAAAATATAATAGTTAATCAATTAAATGATTTCTTTTATTAAATTCAAATTTCTTATATTATTTGTGATTTCTAAATGCTGGTACCTTGATAGAATAAATATTTT